TGGGTTTGAATTCACCATTGGGCTTCGTCTTACATCTTTTGGATTCAACATTACTGTTTATTGTTTCATTGTTAAAACTTAATTTTACGTTTAGGTGTATGAAGTAATCTTTCTTTACTTATTGTTAAAAATAATTTTGCAGAGATTTGCATTCTGGTTGAACTCTCAGGAGCAAGCCTATGGAGCTTAAGTTAGATATTGTAAACCCTTCTTTCAAATCAGTATTGTATCTCTATACTGGATATACTGATCATAGGCATCATATATAATATTAAAGAGGGAAATATAACGCATCCGTTTTCTCAAAGGTAATTCAGCAGACCACCATAGGCTTGCATAGACCAAGAATTTTGTTTTGGACAGAGCAATACGTGAGAGAGATTAGGTCTGATGAATTAATGTGAGAAGAGTGTCTTGCAAACTTAGAGACAAAAATTTGATAGCCCAAAGTCATTAATAAACAGCCTTGAATTGTTCCACCTCTTTAAAGTCTTTATACCATTTAGTAGAAAAATATCTCTTTGAATTCACAATTCATGATTGAGTCTTATATAAGTAAATGAAGAGTTTAATTGCATTGAAAAGTGCGAGACAATAAAAACGTAATTGAGTAAAGTCAAGCTCGTAATTAGTAATAAGTAAAAACATAAAATGAGGTTTTAACAATAAAAAAGTGAACAATAAAGTGACATTAAGGCCAATCCAAAAGAAAGGAGAGCAGTCCAAATATTGAACACAAACCAACAAAGAACAGAACAAGGAAAGTACAATCCCAAACAAGTGGCCAGCAAGGAATTCCCATGGACTCATTTTCAAGGATTTCAAGAAAGAGTACTTCGGTCCAGCCACTAAGAGAAGCGCAATCCAATAACATTAGCTGGAGACATGCCCTACCATTCAATAACACCAAATTAGGAAAATTGACCAACAAGTTTTAGTAATATATTCAGATGTAAAAGAGTAAGGTTTTTTTTTTCTTCTTTTAAAAGTGTATTCCATGTTTCTATCTACACACAATATGTTGCTTTATTTCTATATATATAAAATAAATGTCACAAAACAGCAAAAGGAAAAAAAGGAAAATGAGGCATAGCAAATTAACATTTTATTCAAGAAAAAAATAAAAATAAACAAATGCCACTTATCTGTCAAAGTTTAAATATTTTGATTTTGATTGGTAATTCGTTTTGAAATAGTAACATATTGCTACTACTCAGTTGATCATATTAGTGTTAACTGAATCTTAAATATTGCTTGGCTGAAAAATGAAAATCTTAAGCACAGATTTCTGGACTACCGACTAAAATCAATTGCATCATTTCTTCGACAAGCTTTATAAAAGAATCATGTTTTATTATTTGATATATAAAGGGAGGTTGTACACAAAAATAAAAAGTAAAGAAAAGACAGAAAAAATAGTTGTTACCCAGCTAATCGTTGGGCTGTTCATATGTTTGATGTGATTTCATTGCCATCAATAAGTATACACGATGCATGAGAAATCTTGGCCCAATCCTCTCCGTTTTCAGGTTTGTATTTTGCGCTCAACATGGGACACCTTTCAATCTGCAATTCCTTGAGGCATTGCATCCGCTCTGGCAGTGATGACAAATTTGGGCAGTCCATAATCCCTAGCCTTTCAAGTGATGTGAGATTCTGTCCCTCCGGGAATGTTGTGAGATTTTCACATTCTACAAGTCCCAGGTCCCGCAAAGTGTCGGCAGATCCCACAAGAAGCCATTGGGGCAGTACCTCCAACTTTGGTAACCCTGTAATAATTACTGTTTGAAGTTGTAACCGACTGCCAATTTGGTAATCTTGACTATCATCTTCCTTTCCTCTCCCTTGGGAGCCCAACGTCATATTAAGATGGAGCCTTTCACAACCCTCGATTACCAGAACTTTTAGTGCAGGCAAGGCTTCAATGCCCCGCGGCAGTGATATCAAGTTCTTGCAACCATCGATTATCAATGTATGAAGGGATTTGAGGTTCTGAATCCCATCGAACAAATATTCTAAATTTTCACAATTACTGATCATCAAATACCGAAGAGATTTCAAGTTCTCAAGTCCACTCTTAGATAGAGATCTCTGTTTTGTTCTCATTACTAAAATTCTGAGATTGATCATATACCCCATATTCTTGGGCAACTCTTCAATTCCTTCACAACCGAGAAGCAGAGTTTGCAAACATGGTAACTTGCATACAAACTTTGGAAGTTTCTTGATTTTGGAGTTGGATCTTAGGTCGAGATACCTTAAATGCTTCAATCTGCCAACCTTTTTGGGCAGTACCTCAATACTAGATCCTCTTAGATCTAGTACTCGTAAATTCTGAAACTTTGAAAGATGTTTCTTGATAAATGATTCACTGTTAGAACCTTCTTTCATATTTTCAAGACGAAATGTGCGTAAATGACATAACTTATCAACATCATGGAAGCCTAAAGACTGCTCCTCAAAAAAATCAAGGTTGTCAACGCACAAATGTCGAATTCCTGGAGCAATAATTTGCTTGAAACAGTTTATCGTAGAGCAGTCATTCTTTGCCACTGATAATGCAAGATCATGTAGAAGATCATGCATTTTAAAAGATTGTATAGACAAACTTTGATCAAAATCTTGAAAGAAAGATCTTGATGATAGGCTATTCAAATAACGCCTACCAATATCTTCTGGATCTTCATTTTCATTGGAGGGATGAAGCAAATCATGAGCCATCCAAAAATGGATCACCTCCACATCATTAAGTTCATAATCCTTTGGAAATACCGAGAGATAAGCAAAACACGGCTTTAAATGTGGAGGCAATTCATCATAACTCAATTTCAAAACAGGAAAAATGCTTTTTTCTTCTTGCACTAATTTCCACATCTCACTATCTCTCACAAATTTCCAATCGTCTTCTGAAGTTTTGGAGAGAAGTAAGCTCCCAAGTGTCTTCAAAACCAAAGGCACTCCATTGCATTTTTTAACTAGGTTTGGGTGTTGATTGATTTCCCCTTTCTTTGATACAAATCGGAGAAACAAACGCAAAGATTTCTTTTCAGGAAGACCTTGCAAATTGTGTGTTGGGATTGTGCCCATGATCTCTGCAACTTGGTTACTACGAGTGGTGACAACAACTTTGCTTCCTTTGGCTCCTTCCACTAACAATTGTTTCAGTTCATCCCATTTGATATAATCATCGTTCCACAAATCATCCAGGATAAGTAAATACTTTTTCTCATCTAAACAATGTCGAAAGACCTTTTGTAATTGGTCTAGGTCCATGCTACTCCAATTTCCATCAAACCCCTTTACAGCTTTAATGATTTTTATCATTATTTGTTTCAAATCAAAATCATCTGAGACACATACCCACATTTTCAACTCAAAGTGCCTATCTACACAATCATCATTGTACACCAATTTTGCAAGGGCAGTCTTTCCGAGACCTCCAATTCCAACTATGGGAAGGACAGATATGTCTTCCCCATCAGTTGGATCCTGCATCAAAGCTTTTACAATTTTTTCTTTGCCTTTATCTCTACCAATGATATCTGCTGCTTGGACAAAGGAGTGGGTCTCCCTGTCCAACCCCATAACAAGATGCCTAGTGTC